GCCCTGCCCAGCCGCCCTGGGCCCACGTGCCAGCCCCACCCTGATGAAACTCCCACCTGCACAGGCAGGCCGCCTGGCACCCGCCGCCCGGCCTGCCCCAGCGGGCCTGCGGGGACGGGTGCAGGAGGTTACCCTGTTAGCCAGCCTCCGTTTTATGAGCTTGCGGCAAGGGTCTCGTGACTGGTAGGGGCACGGAGCCAGGCAGGACTTTCCAATAGTCGTGGCTCTCCCTGTCCCAGAATGCCGCTCCCCCAGAGCAGGGACCTCACCTTCCTGTTCGCGCCAGAGCCTGGAACGTGGCCCAACACATCACAGCTACCTTTTATGTCTGTTGAAATCGTTGGCAAATGACTAGGAGCAGATGTGACTAGAACGTGCTTCCTGCCCTAGGCACCCACTGTAGATTGTGAGGTGGGCACTGGTCGAACGCATGGGCATCAGCCCACCCGGGCCTGGCACTCCATGACCCCACGGCCTCTCGCCAGGGGCTGCCTGAGATCTCGCGGGCGCCAGCACCTTCTGGCAGTGGGGATGTGGCTAGGAGCTCCACAGGCGGGGGTCCCCCCCCCGGGACTCTGTGCTGATGGAGGGGGACAGGCAGAGGGAAAACTGCTCAGAAGGGGAGTGATGTCCAGCAGAGGTCAGACAGGGATAGGTGGCCAGCGAGGCCCCTCTGAGGATATTCGGACCTAAGGGAACCGACAAGCAGGGATGGGGTGACGTTCCAGGCCAAGGGACCAGCCAATGCAAGGGGCCCTGAGGAGGGAGCTGCGTGGGGTGTCTGAGGAGCGGCCAGGAGCCTAAGTCCAGTGAGAGGTGCGCACACAGGCGGAAGGAAGTGACAATATGCAGGAAGGTGTCACTGTGTGGCGTGTTCATGTTTGCTCTGCAGCCAGAGATGGAATAAAGTCCCCCTGATCCCCCAATTCCTGGGGAAGGAATGGGAGGAATTGGGGCCCTACCTGGCCATCCTCCCGTGACATCCCCAACCCCCATGATCCTCACCAGACCCTCCCCTCCCCCGCTTAGGACTTACTGTCCTTCTATCAGGCAGCGATGGCCTGCCCTTGGAAACACTGGTGATCAAACGTTGAAACCGATGCTCCCTTCCTCATCCTTCTTTTAAACTGCTTCCTGTTTGTCCTTGGGATTCTTGCTTAAGCATCACCTCTTGAAAGAAGACTTGCTGGATCCCCAGGCTGGATCAGCTGCATTGCGCACACACTTCACAACCTCACACCATCGCAACAGCACATTCACAATTAACTGTGTCATCGGCTATGTGGTTTCTGTGCCTGGCAGCACCAGTGCCAGGAGGGCAAGGACTACCTCTGTCCTGCCCACCGCGGCATCTGCAGCACCCAGCACAGGGATGGACAGCGATGGAGGCACGCCCGAGGCCCGGACTCAGGAGCGGCCCCTGCGGAGCTGGCTGCACCCCCTGGGGGTGGCCAGGGTCTTTGCAGAAGCTTGAAGTAGCTGAGCTGGTTGTGCGCAATCTCTGATCCTCGAGAGGCTGAGCAGGGCTGTGAAGTGGCTGGAGGCCGTGGACAGCCACAGAAGAGCTGGGCACCTGGGCTCAGGACATAAGGAGCCACCAAGGGGGCTGGGCAGCGGGCAGGCCAGCAGGTCCCACCTTGGAAACCGTGTGCTAGGATGACGCATTGGCAGGCACCCGTGCGGACTTGAAAGGGTGCCTGTGCGCCGGCCCCAGAGGGCCTGTCTGACCCCTAGTCTTCAGAGTGGCAGTTGTCTTCCCACTCCAAGATGCATATCAGGGGGCTTTCTCAACCGCGCAGGGCTTCCCTGCTCGGCAGGCCAAAGGCGGGAATGCAAGCTTCCCCTCCGGGAGGAGATTCCGTCCTTTACAATGGAAACATGCACTTTATTGAGCAACTGCTGCCTTCAGAGCAGCTTTGTTTCCCCGCCTCCACTCGTCTTGATCCCCATCTCTGTCCCCATTAGAAGGCAGCTCCTATTAGGGCCTCCCACCCGAGAGACACATGTGTAACATTTTGGCCCACACCTGGAATTCACAAAAGGCCTTCAATGCACGCTCTGCCATCTTCAGTCACAAGGACTCTGGAGCCAGCTGGCCTGAGTTTGGATCCCACCTGTGCCCTGTGACCTTGGACAAAGTACTTAACCTCTGTGTCTCAGTTTCCACATCTGCAAAATGGGAACAGTAGCTTAAATCAGACATGAAAAACCACATATTGTATAATTCCACTTATAGGAAATGTCCAGGTTAGGTAAGTCCACAGAGACAAAAAATAGATTAGTGGCTGACAGGGGCTGGGAGAGGGAGGGGGTGAGGTGGGGAATGACTGCTAATAGGCACAGAGTTCTTTTAGGAATGAAGAAAATATTTGATGATTAGGTACAGTTTAAAGAGTTATTATTTATAAAGTGCTTAGAGCAGTGCCTGTCATGTAGAAAGTGATTTTTAAGTCACTGTCAAGTAAAACTTATCACCAAATGAAGGCAGACATACTGATAAGCTTGGAGAAAATGTTCATAATACAAGTTAAAGTACAATCCCATTGCTGAATCTCACTGTCTGTTGTGTACTTTTTGTAAGTCCTGTAATTATGTTGTGGATAGCATCATGACGTTACATTATAAATTCCGTAGTATATTAAAAGGATTAATTTGTCAGACTTAAACTTCAGCATTTATTTGAGTCTTGCTTCAGCATTTCTTATTTCTATCCTTTCACCCATTCACTCATTCATTCACATTTTTACCATAGTAGGTGTTCCCCTCAAAAATGGGAGGCGGCTCAGGGCTCTGAAAGGCAAACGCACCTGGTGAGCTGTCCTTGACTCAGACGGTTTTAGACAGAAGGTCTAGAAGACAACACGAGGAGGACTTCATACAAAGGCATTTAGGAGGAGAGCCGCGAAGAGGCGTGTCACTTATGTTTGATTGGCAGAGAACCAGGAAAGTCTGACTTTTGATCTATGTGGTCTCCTTATTTGCCTAAGGGTGAAGTGAAGTAGAGCAACCACAAAAAGGATTCAAGTCCACAAGGGGTAACATCGAGACGTGGCGGAGGGCACCCTACGGCTAGAGCACCAGGCGCGGAACAGACGGCCCTCTGGGAGGAAAAGAGCCCTGATTAGCACTGTTTGCCAGTTTCCATGGTGTAAATAAATACTCACACCATGGCTTATTTCAAGCTACAGACGTGAGTCACTGACGTCGGAGTGGAGAAGAGGTGTGCAGTAGCCCAGTATGATACAGTGTTTTCTACTGTAGAGCTGCCATGGATGTAAATAACCCAAAAGCACAGAGAACAGTAAAACATAGTACAATACCTTGCACCACGACAATTTTGGATTTTATCACAGATTTGTGCCAAAGGCTGTTTTCTGATTCCTAGGTGAAACTAGGCAAAGTGAACAGGTTTTCGTTTGTTTTATAAATTCTGGAATTCTTCAGAAGCACTGGGCAAAGGTGTGGGTGGCGAGGTGGGTGGTGGGGTAAAGGTTGCCATTAGACACCGTCTGAGGAATGTGCACCTTAACCCCTGTTCTGTGAAGTGGGAAAACAAGTTTAAAAAAAAAAAACCACCTTTGGGCTTCCTCAGATAATAACGAAACCTGCTTTGGGACTGTGGTCTGATGTGTTGTTGTTGGGGTGTCCTTTAATTATGGTGAACAGCCAGCAAACACAGTGGCTCCTCCCGGTACACAGAGAGAGCACTCCCTGGCTTCCTCAGGCTCCACGGCCGGGCTTCCTCACCGGTGTCGAAGCACAACAGGGCGATTGTGTCTCTTTCCCAGACCTTTGCCTTCCTTCCTGTTCCCACATAGAGATGAGCAGATAGCCGTGGTGGCTTTTACTCAGCACTTCACGTTGCAGCTATCTCTTTACTTAGGGGTTTATTGGCTTGCCTTAATCGTTCACCAAATATTCCCTGGGCATGTATTCTGCGTGTCCAGCTCTGGGTCAGCACCACAGAGAGCTGGCATTTAGGAGGGACACTTGAAGAGTTTGGAGAATTGGGGAGGCCCTCCTGCTGCCAGTTGGTAGAGTTCCATCGGATGAGATCCAAATCAGTTCCTCCCATGCACAAGCTGGGCTTGATTGTATTTTCCAGAAAAGCCTAACATTTTCCCAACCTCCAGGCCTCTCATCTTTACGCTACTTCTGCCTGCAAAGTGCTTTCTCTACCGTTCCCCACTGCTGGTTGGGCCTTGTCTCTTGGTGGGGAGAGAGAGGCCCCTGGCAGCTGCTTGTCGTGGCCCCAGGGCCAGGACCAGACACCTTTCGTTTAGAGAACTTCTACTGGGAGCCAGGCCCTGAGCCAGCCCCCTGGAAACCCCAGCTGCAATGGGCACAGCTCTTGTCCTCAGGGAGCTGACAGTCACAGGAACAGTGAAACATGGTATCCGGGATAGCAGTCTGTCGGGGCAGGGCTGGGGCACTAGGAGTTGTTAGTCATTTCTCCTGGGCTCGGGGAGCGGCCTTCTTAGGTGACGTCATCCTTCAGGTGCGTCCTGACCCATGAAACAAGGGGTGCTGGGTGGCCAGGCCAGGACAGGACAGGAAGGGCACTCTTGGCAAAGGGAATGGCTTGAGCTCAGGAGCTGAGTCAGTGGGTGTGAGGGGAGAGGGATTATATTCCTGGTGAATTGAAATAAAAAACCCAAATGGCGGCTGATAGGATGTGTAGGTCAACCTAACACAAGCCTAAAATGGTAAAAAAGGCAGAGGACAAAACATGTTTTAAAACACCGAGAAAAAACATCCAGGATACATTCCGGGTGTTTTTTATTGTCTTCTTTATACTTCCCTGAATTTTAAAATTTACAGTAATTGCAGGTGTTACCTGCTGCCCGCGCACTTGTCCATCTGCAGGGGGCGCACACGCAGACACACTCCCGCCGCCAGGTTCATGGGCGGGGCCTCCCAGGCCCTGTGGGACTGACGATTGGCTAAATTGGCCGTCCGTCAAGGCCTCCCGCCCCCGCTCTACGTCACATGACGCAGCCCATCATGGCGGTCGGAGCGCGGCTCCCCGGGCCCGCCGTTCCGCAGGGCTGCTGCCGTTGCTGCTGTTGAGAGGCGGTGGCGGCGGCGGCGGCGGCGCGGGCGGGAAGGATGGTGTTTCCGTGGCCGGAGCGGCGGGTGCGGACCAGGAGCCGAGCTCAGGCTTGGCCGAAGCGACGCGCGCTAAGGAGCAGCCGGCACGGGTGCCGCTGAGGCAGCGTCGGGAGGCGGGAGCGACTGACAGACTGACTGACGGAAGGCGACCCGAGAGCCGGCCCGGGGACCGTGCCTTGGACGAGATGCCGGGGCCACCGGCGTTGCTGCTGTTGCTGCTCCTGGCCGCTGGCAGTGCCCGGGCCATGCCACTTCCGCAAACAGGTGCAGGTGAGCGGGCCCACGGCGGGGACGGGGCTGCGGGGACCCGGCTGCGGGACTGCCGCGACCCGGGGAGGAGGCAGCAGGCCGGGTCCGGCCTCGGCGCCGGGGACTCGGAGGGCCTGCCGGGGCGGCAGGCCCGGGGAAGCGAGCGATTAGGATTAGGGAGGTTTCTGCCGCAGGGGCGGGCTGCCTCTCCAGGGCCGGAGCGGGGGCGAGGCGATGCGGTTGGGCTGGGGAGGGCGGCGAGCGCGGTGCCGGCGACCGACCCCTCCCGGGGCGGACTGCGGTGCCGGCTCTAGACCTGTTGCCTGAAGGTCCGCAGCCCACATCCCCTCCTGGCAGTTCTGCTTCCCTTTCCAGATGTCCCCTGCCTCGTGTGAGTTTCTCACATCTTATGATAAGAACCGTTTCTTCGCTCTCCTCACGCTTAAACGCAAACGACTGGCGAGCTCTGCGGAGTTTCCTTCGTTCTCTGCAACTTGATCGGAAGTTGTACACGGATGTTAGACGCTGTGCTTTTCATTCGGATTGAATCTCTGGGGATGAGAAGGAAACAACCCTATAAATATTCCTATTTTAGGAAGCCAGTGATTAGAGCAGCAGCCTTTGAATAACTATTGACAAAATGGCCCAAGGGTGATTGTAGTTTCTATTTTATCTAAGTCAGTGTGATTTTCTTTCATTCTTTCCATTTTATCGGTGTCGTTTTCATTTGCGGTTTATTTTCCTAGATAAAACACTAACCCCTGAGAGCATTCCAAGTTGGGTCATTTTTTCTTTTTTAAAGGAAAGAAATCTAGGCTAATTTGTTATCATCCTCTGCTGCTTATTTTTGAAATGAAGAGACTGAAATTTCATAGATTCTTAGATTTTTTTTTTTTTTTGAGTTGCAATAGACCTTAAAGAAAATTTAGTCCAGGTTCTTTATTTTTCAGTTGAAGACCCTGAGGCTGGCAGAGGGTGGGAGGGGGTCAAATGACTAACCCAAGGTGACAGCTGAATTGTAGGCAGACTCAGAACTAAGCCCAGGTCTTACACCCCCCTGTGGTGTGATTCCCGTCTCGGAACTGTTTAGGAATAGTCCTGAAGGCAAGGGTTATTTTAGAATGATGTTAATTGGGTGGAGAGTGTGGAAGTTACTGTCCCCAGCAAAGACGTATTTTTCAAACTCATCTGCAATGAACGCTGGATGTGACTGTTCCCAGAGCTGCGCACCAGGCTATGCCATTGAGTGCCCTTCCGCTGAGCAGTCACTTACCATCGTACCATATAACATATCACTGAAGTTGTGGCACCGCCTTCGAGCAAATATTTGTAAGGCGAATTCTGTTTTCTGATCTGATAGATAAGAAGAGTATTATTAGAAGGGTGTAGGCAGCCCAGGTAAGAGTCACAGAAGGCATCTGGGAAGTGAAAAAAGACTGCATGGAAAGATGTTGATGTTCTTATTGAAAGATATTGATGGCGAAGTTGAAAATTAGCCCTAGAGTAAGATAGTGAATAAAAAGTAGAAGGGATTCAAGAAGTTTCCAGATGGCTTTGCACTTAATTGAATATTTATATATTTTGAAAAAGATTCTGTGTGGGAACCTATAGAAATGTGCCTTCCTATAAACCTCTTACCATGCTTTTTTGTTCCATTCTTTTACTGTTTTATGGTGGGACGTATAATTTGTAAAATCTTAAGTCTTTTGGAGTGCTGTAAAACAGTTGGGGAAAGTTAATCCATAAATAGAAATATAAAATCTTGAAATAAATAAAGCATAAATAAATATTTGGTGATTTATAGCAGCTTTTTGCAGATTTTCTCTTCATATTCTGTTGCTTGGAAAATGTATAGTTAAACAAGTGGCTTATGAATGACAGGTAAATAGAGTTAAATTCTATGGAAAAGATGCACAATCACACATAGATTTGGGGGTTTGTATTTCCATCTAGAAGAGATTATTAATCCTGGTAGCAGAGGTAGGTTCTAGACCAAGGAAAATAAAGAAACCTTTGAGCGAATCCTGGTAAGTGAGCTCACTGGTTAAGAAAGAAGAACCCCTTTGAATATACAGGGTCGATGAAAGAGCAGTTAAACGGGCAAGCTTATAATTATCTGGAGGCTGTACGCCATATGAAGGTAGGGCTGGCCATTATCAAATTAAGGACAGAGCATTGCATAGGGTCTTTTGCATCCTTGGTCCTATTCTTTCTACTTAAAGTGCAAACTGGTTAATAGTGCCTCGGAGAAAGGATGGCTTATCAAACACAGGTTGGAAAAGAGTATTCGAATTTTATCCTTTGGCCAGCCTATTTGCATGGGGAAAGAAATGAGGCAATTTACTAAAATTTAGCATTGAAATTGAAATTCATTTGTCCAGGGTTGGTGTTTTTTTTTTGTTTTTGTTTTTGTTTTTGTTTTGGTCATCCAACATCATTTCTGGTGCAGAGGCTGAAACAAGTATTTACCCATTTGATCATAATAAAACTTTGTAAACATGTAGATTGCCTTTGCCCATTAGAGGCAAGAAGGCCTTTCTCGGTTGAACTGTATTTTGGGCCTCTCTCTCGGGGAGCCTCCCCATCCTCCCGGGAAGCCTCCTTTCCTGCGAGTCCGTTGCTGCAAGGCCCTTGTTGCGTGGGCTGAGGTCTTGCTGGCCCTCGCTAGGAAGCTTATGTAGAGGAAGCCCACCGTTTTCACACAGTTAAATTACCAAACGAAGATTGCAGTTAAATTCTTTTCTACAGATCATAGTTATCAGATTATCTCTCTCTTAGAAAACATGCATGTGCCTTTTATTAGATTCTCTGAATTCGCATCATAAAGAAATGTCTTGTCCGTGTGAAGGCATTCCTCTTGGACCGCATTTATTAATATTAGTAGTGGGTCGACAAGGAAACCACGTCCATTGTTCTGTGGCATATTAGGTCACGGAGTACAGAGGAAGCTTTTAGCAGTGCCAGATAAAGGACCTCCCGGAAGCTGGTGAAGCCGGTGGGACTCAGCTACTGATTAAACAGCAGCTTGTGAAACCGGGGCTCTTGTTTTAGATTAAACACACAGATTTGTATCTTGAAAAAGATTCCTGAGGTGAAGGTAGTGTTTTGTAAAGAATGAATTTTTGTGTTTATTATAACAACTCCTGAAAAATAAAAAGTATTTTTAATAAGCTTTCTATGTAAATGATGTCAGGATTTGTAGCTATAAAGCATGAGAATTGGTTTAGGTTGGGAATGTTGTAATTCCTTTCAGTTGGTGATATTTTGGGGTTAACTGAATATGCTTGTTTGCACAGTAATAGGAAGTCTGTACAACAAATTTGTAGCGGATAAGCATTGAAGTTATCAAATTCCTACAGTTTTGCTGATATCAATGTGCTGTTTATGCAGCTCTTGAAATTTAGAGTCCTTGGGCCCTCTGTGTCCCCTGTGGGCTGTGTCACTTAGATAACAGCTGTGCAGGAAATAAAAAAGACTTTGCAGTGTAAAGAAGGGGTGACCAGGGTTCTGAAACAGTTCAGTGAGTCTTCAAAAAGTCCTTGTAGATGGAACGTAAAAAGGACGCAGGTTTTCGGTCTAGTTGAGAGCAGGGGTCATGAACCACTCATAGAAGAGCAGGTATTGTAGACGGAACCTGGACTTTGGAGTTGGTCTGGGTGTGAGCCTGCTCTGCCACTTCGGTAGCTTTAAGACTTTGGGCCGGTTACTTGACCTCCCCAAGCTTCTTAGACTCAGTTACTACAACAGGATCCTGATAATGTTTACCTGAAGGGTTGTTGGGCAGGTGAGATAGTCCCCTCTCTGTGGTATGACACTGTGGTATGACACGTCTGCTCTGTGTTGGACACTCAGCAATGCAGATTTCCCGACTGCCTCTGATCTGTGCGTTTGAGGGGTCATCATAGAATGGACTAATGGTGGGTGGTATGGCTTCAAAGAAGGAACTCGAAATGGAATGCCTAGAACTTGCTGGACTTAAAGAAATCTTCATTACTCAGAACAATTTTTTTTATGATAAGTGAAGACCAGGCCCTTTAAATCTAGCCTAAGTATGTTATATAGGCTGGTATTGTAACTTCTTGAAATTCATAATGTTGGAGAATTATGCTAGGAATTTTTAAGATGATCTGGATTAGTCTGCTTTTATGTAATAAGCCTCCTTTTAAACATCCAGATGACTAAAGGTCTTGCATGTCAACAATGGCTGGTTTTAATTTAAAGGAACCCAGAGCAATCTAAGTTGAGTCAATCCCAAACAGAACTGTACACTTACATAAAGCACCCCTGAAGGCAGCGCGTCACCCCGGGCCAGCACAGGGCGGAGGCTGGCCTTGGGAAATGTCATTTGCAGAGATGACTGGGATTGTCTCTTCCCCCTCTTTTAAAATCATGTATTTTTGCATTCTCCTAGCTGTGCTTTACTCTATTTAAAATATTCATTACTCGGAAATGAGGAAGGGAATATTAAAGAAAGGAGGAGCTGGACGGACATTTCTGGTCTGAACCAGACCGCTACATCTAAGGTGGCTTTGAGATTCGATTCTCAATCTTTCTGCGAGTTTTCTTACGAAGACCCTATTGTAAGAGGAAGCTGGGGGAATAGGGTGAGACCGGTGTGTCGGAGGAAAATATTGGACAGAGTGAAGTATTTTTAAATTGTAGCAAGTGACTAATTTGGAACCACGGCCTGGCATTACAGTTATTTGCCACAAAGAACAGGCGTATCAGAAAAATAACTTCACTATTTCAAAAAAGGTTGTTTTCCTTCGCCAAGGTTAGCACAGTGCAAAGAGTCCAGATTTCATTTGACTTTGCTGTGATTCAAGTGGGGCAAGAGAAATGTTGATGCCAAATGTTTCAGGTGCTGGGGAGCTCTTTATGGCCTCAGTTTCCCCACTAGTCCTCCGAGATCCCTGCCGCCGAGGAACTCCTGGAGTGTTGACTTCTGGGACAGGGTGTTCCGTGGGTGCAGGTTGCAAACATCGGAACTTTTCATTTTCATTTCATCTCTTTAAAATTTT